CTCTGGAGCAGAGCAAATAAATAAAGCTGTTAGGCAGGCAGGGGAAAACCATTGTTGGTGGGGGGAGGGGTTGGGCTGCAGGCAGGGGAGAACCATTGTTGGTGGGGGGAGGGGTTGGGCTACAGGCAAGGGAAAACCAGTATTGGTGGGGGAGGGGTTAAGCTGCAGGAGGGGGAAAACCATTGTTGGTGGGGGTAGGCGTGAGAGGCAGGGGAGAGCCATTGTCGCAGAGGAGGGGGTCTGGCATAGGCAGGGGGAACCACTGTTGGTGGGGAGGGTTGGGCTCGGAGCAGGGGGGAACCCTTGATTTGAGAGGGACCACTTGTTCAGGCAGGAGTGGGAAGGTTGTGATCGTTTTTATTTGGAGCCCTGTTGACTGATGCCCTACTGTGAACTAACTAGATTTTATGCTCCTGGTTTGCTGTCATTTCTGAACCAGGTTATTGCGTTGGCCTGGCCGATTTTGATGTTTGTAGGTTTTCTGAAAGGTACAGGACCAGGTGTATTGCCTTTGTGTGGCCGGGGCTGTTTGCAGGTTTTCTGACACTGGAAGCTATGGAACCAGGTTATTGCTTTGGCCTGGCCCTTGGATGTTTGTAGGTTGACATAGAGAGTTGGAAAGTAGCGAAGTGGGTCATGGTGTGTTAGTGAGTCAGGATTGCCTTTCATGGAGATGCCTGGTGGAGACAAGGCAGCGATGAATGTCTGGTATGTGGGGCTGACGACAGGCGGTTACGCAAGCACTGGAATAACCAGTCACTCACGCAATCATTCACTCACTCATTCACCCACATTCTCTCCCTCACTCAATCACTCATTCACTCACTCCAACCAGAGACAAGGCAGTGCTGAATGTCTGGTATGTGGGGCTGAGGACAGACGTTATGCAAGCAGGGACCTGGGGTGGAATAACCTGTCACTCAGGCAATCATTCACTCATTCACTCACTCGCTCACTCCTCAGTCACTCACTCACACACTCACTCACTCACACACTTACTCACTCACACACTCACTCACTCACTCACTCACTCACACACTCACTCACTCCTTGTGGACCACTTTGGTTACAGTATGATGATGCAGCTTAAAGAATCATTTGTTTGACAGAGAAATTCTTAATTTATAATATTAAACACCAAACTCTAGTTGCAAAGAGGACAGACATGTGAAGTGACTCAGAGTCTCCGAATGGAAAAGGAAGTTCCTGGCATTTTTCAGGGCAGAATTCCCTAAAAATCCGCCAAGTTTGGGTAGTAGTAAGTTCAGTCTGGGTTGTGAAGAAGGGAATTTTGTCTGCTCAGGCGAGGTGTAGCCGTCTGGAAGAAGTGTCGTTCTCTCGGCACGCACCACAGGCTGCCTCCTCACAACTCTGCAGGCACGAAAACCTGCCATGCATTTTTTATGAGGAAATCTCACAGTGGCTCTGGTGTATTCCAAGACTTCGTACTTTACAAGTCTCGTGTTTTTATTGGTGAATTTTGTACCGCATGTCTTATTAGCTCGGATTCTCTCTCTCTCTCCCTGTATCCGGTTTAACGTCTGTTGTTCCCCGTGTTCCGAGGGTTAGGCGTGCTTGCACACTGACGCTGAGGCTTGATGGTAGCTCGCCATTTGCCTCTGTACTGTGGTTCTTGTGCACAGCAAATGTCGATACCCCTGCGGGTTAGAGTCTCAGCAACTTCACCTTACTTAGGTTAAGAAATGATACAAAAACTACTGGCTGCAAAGTGTGACGCTTACTGCTATATTGACACTGTCTTGCAACGTGCACGAGTGATTCTTTATTCTTGATTTACATGCAGGGATTATTCTAGAAAAATTTAGCATGAGGGAGCAGATCGCAAGCATGGCAAGGAACGAAGCGACCGAGGGTGGATTTTTTAATAAGAGTAACACAGTTTGTAATGCTAGAATGCATTGTTGTAATGTTTTCACATCTCTACTGGAAATAGATAGGGTTCAATTTGAAAATTGATATGAGGGAGCTGGCTGGTTACATGAGGGAGCAGCTCCCTTATTCCCCTGTTTACAAAAACCCCTGACATGTATACAGTATTGTAAACAAGCATGACAGTAATTCAGCCTTGTGCATCACAGCAGCCTCCAGGCTTGCGTCAGTTATGTTGGAACAAATAAACTACGTTCGTACACTTCCTGTTTTACCGGAGCAAACATCAACTCAAACGAAAACCCGTCGTGAATTTTTCATGAGTGAATCCGTGTCTCCAGTCGTGTGTAGCAGACAGACTGGCAGAACTCGCTCAGGGTTCTCACCAGGAGTTTTTCACAGTGTAGGGATCACGTACAGAAGGGCAACTTTCTGTGGTGCAAGGTGGCGCATCGAGTCCCAAAAACATGACCACAGCAGGGGGTCTGATATTCTTCTCCTAAAGTTTCGTAACTCATAACCCTGAGACACAATTTCCTGATTTCGGGGGAAGGATTTTGTTTTCCCGTTATAGCTTCATTCCAAAGTTGTATTATTATTTTTTAAACATTTTACAAGCTTCTGCCCCCCCCCCCTCCCAAAAAAATACCCCCAGAAAGTATATGGGCTAAACCAAAGTGTAGGGGCCCAAATCACAGCATAGGGGTTCCAAATCACAGCATAGGGAGCCCCTGTGCTGAGACAGCCCGGTGAGAACGTTTGTCACTCCCCCCGCAGCAGGCAGTAGCCAGGGCTGCGTCTGTGCAGCAAGATTGGACCCGGACCCCAGCGGGTGTCTCATTGTGCAGCCCGAACCGCGAAAATTTGACAAACTCACGAAAACTTCCGCAAAGATGCAGGATCTGTCCCGTTCACGTGCCAGCAGTTTTAACATTGGCCAAGGTTTCTAGTCATGGTACAAAAACTGTGGGTGTTGAAAACCGTTTATATACAGTATAAGTTTGCTGCTGCTAGCTGCATCTACACTTGTAGGCTCAATATTTCAAGCAGTAGAAATTTTTTAAAAGTGGAAAGGTGACAACGTAACAGGGAAGGTTTCTGGTCATGGTACAAAAATTGCGGGTGTTGAAAGGCGTTTATACAGTCTAACGCTAACTGCTGCAGCTACATTATGTAGGCTTAACATTTTGAAGCAGTAAAAAATCAGTTTTGATCAGGTTTGATGATTAAAAAAAAAGCATTTACAAACAGTATTGAAAGCTTCGTAGATGCGTACTTGTTTGTTTGTTAAAAAATGATACAAAAACTACTGGCTGAAAAATGTTGATGCTTGCTGCTACATCTATACTGTCTTGCAACTTGCACGAGAGATTCTGATATTGATGTATTCTGCTGTAAACAAGCCTTGGAATATAATTCAGCCTTGTACATCACAGTTGCCTCCAGGCTTGTGTCAGTCACATTGGTACAAATAAACTACATTTGTACACTTCCTAGGGGGCCCACAAACCCTTTTCCGTAGAGCGTAATCGGCCATTTTAATTCTACATAGAGCGTACACGGACCGCTTTAATATTTTTGCGTAGAGCGTAATCGCTGATTTAATTCTACGTAATGCGTTGTAGCCACTTGGAATTTATCGTAAAGCGTAATGGAGAGGTTTCCGAATTCAGTGTAGAGTGTTGTCGGGACCCCCCTTGCAGGCCCTCTTCCTAGTTTACCGATGTATACAAGCGTCAATACATCAGTTGCCCAAAGGCTTGTGTCAGTCACTTCGATACAAATAAACTACATTTGTACACTTCATGTTTTACCAAAGTAAACATCAACCAACTCCTGCAGAAGTAAGATCACAGTAATCTGAAGTATCTGGCTCCAGGCTAATAATATATTACCTCATATCATACCCAGGAACCAGCAGATAGCAAACTCGTCAGGGGGTTCTAGTAATTAAGATCCAGCAAGGGACCATCCAGTAAGCATCTGGGGGTGTTGTGTAATTGAGATCCAGCAAGGGACCATCCACTAAGCGTTTGGGGGGCTGTTTGATTTGGATCCAGCTTAGGATCATCCACTAAGCATCTTGGGGGGTTGTTTGATTTGGATCCAGCAAGGGACCATCCAGTAAGCATCTAGGGGTTTGTGTAATGAAAATCCAGCTAGGGACAATCCAGTA